CACATCTTTTAACTCTGTTCCCAACAAGACGAAGGGATTAAATGCAGCCAAAAGACTAGAAAAATGCCACCATGCTCTACCTTCATTTCTTAGATTGTTAGCATTTTCACATTTGCATCTAGCATTGTTCCATTATTAAATTCCTCAGACGATACACCTCAAAGCAGCCAATTACAAATTTCATGAAATGGGGGTTGTAGGGGGAAATATAATAAAGTCTCTTGGGTTTTGCAATATCTGTGAGTTTAGAAAAACATACCAGCATTCCCTGAATGCTTGATGCAGGAATTTCATTTCAAGGGTATGCTTTCAGCCAATGCCCTTTCCTTTCAATGCTAACATTTCCACATATCTTGGGTATGGTAAAATCCAGAATACATTTTAACCGTCCCAAAATACTTCACTACCCTGGAAAAGTGTTCACAATTCATCCTTTTCAACGGCGGCAGGTCAGGGAGAGGAATGACCCAACAACAAAGCAATATCTCTTGTTGCAAGCTGTCAGATTGTAAAGTTTTAATGATGCTCCTGAAAGTTAAAATACAGGAACATCTGCTTGGTACCAAGATGGACCTCTGCTCCACCTAAAGCAATATTAACTTAACTGGAGCTGGGTTGACCTGGAGATGCTAAGATTTGATTCTGGAAAGCATATGTTCTACCACTGGGTCCAAACTCTTCCACAAAAAAGAAATCTTTTGTTTTCTCCAACAGAAAATTCTAAACTGTTAACAGTATTGGCATCCTCACATAAACATGATACTCACTAGACTGATTCCATTTCTGTCCGTCAAACAATCTCGATATTTTCCCCTAGGAGCCAACACCTCGTATTTTTCAGATGCATCAACTCTTCACCACTAAACTATGGACATCAGCTAAGTATTCCTTATCCAAAAATGCTTGGAACCAGACACATTTGGAATTTCAGATTCTTTTGGATTTTGGAATATCTATTATTTTCATATACATACATAAGGAGGTATCTTAGCGATGGGACCCAAGAGTCTAAACACAAAAACTCATTTATGTTTCATATTTTATACCATTTTCTGTGTACTCCAAAAGGTGAAGGCAACATGTGGCCTTCCAGAAAGTATAGTGGGTCCTAGGTATTTCCTGGGATCTGGTTCCAGGATCCTCCATGGATTCCAAAATCTGTGGATGCACAAGTGCCATTAAATACAATGACATAGTAAAATAGTGTCCCTTAATTCAAATGACAAAATCCAGGTTTGCTTTTTGGATTTTGGAAGGAGGGGAGGGGAATATTTTCAAGATAGAGATGGTTGAATCCGTAGATGCTGAATTTGTGGATACGGCACACCAACTGTATTGGATTACAACTCCCATCCAGTTCATGATGAGTCCACCAGTACAGTTGGCCCTCCACATTTGCGGCTTTGACTTTTGCGTATTTGATCACTTGCGTATTTGATTGATATGTTCTCTCTAGGAATTTCTAGGTCCTCCAGCGCAAC